CCATGATTAATCACTGAATACCCATGTCAAGTCACTAATACGATAACTTCGACCAATGTGACCCATGTGAACCATGTGACTCATCTGTGACCCGTGACTCAGTGACCCATGTGACCCGCGTGACCCATTGGACTTATATTTTTTTCTCTTATTTCCAAGTAAAATTAAAATCCAAAATACGAAAGAATTTACAAAAACTGATCATTGGTATGGTCCCATTACAAGTCAAGGTATAATCCAAACTACGAAAGAGTTCACAATTAATAACGGGTCAGTTCATGCAAATTTACCATTACAATATATATCGATAGCCAATTTTTCACGGATCATTGTTATGGTCCCATCGCATATCGACGTGAATTCTGCTCCCTTGTTCAACATTATTCCCTCCACGTATTTTGCAGCATAGACACCAGAATCAGAACCTGTTGCATTTTCATGAAGCCCAATCTTGTACTGAACCTCAAGCAAATCCCCTTTACGATGTTGGAATAGATATTGGAATTGTGATTCTTTCTCGAAGTATGTCCATTCATCATGTGTCAGTTTTCTTTAAGCGTCTTCAGTGTCTCTTCGAAGAAAACTGAATGTCTTCGAATTTGTAAACAAATGGAAGCTGCAAAATAAAATAATTGTTCATCATTGTGTTCTTTGTGACCTGGGACCTGGGACCCGTGGCTCATGTGACCTGTGACCTATGTGACCCGTGACCCGTGACCCGTGACCCGTGTGACTCGTGTGCGGTGTTGTGAGTTCTAGTATACTATTACCATATAAATCTCTGTCACTCATGTGACCTGTGACCCACATGACCTTGAGACTTAGGAAATCATTAAACTTGCCAAGGTATTCCGAAATCCCACATTATATATTCCACAGGTCCCAGGTCCCAGGTATTCCGAAATCACACTCTAACTTTCTATTTCGAATTCCTAAAACCCAAATTATATATTTCAAAACACAAAACCCTAACTTTATATTCAGTAATCCCAAAACTTTAATTTTCAATTTCGAAATCCCTAAACCCTAAATTCATATTTTGAAATACCAAATCATACAACAATTTTAATGATTTTACTCTAGGATTAGGTCATAGAAGAAAAAACGGAGAAGAAGATGTAGATAAACCTACTGTTTCTAATGGGAGATCTTTCTCCGATGATGAAGGCGATGAACCGGCCTGAGACGCAGATGAAGACGAAGCAGAAAGCACATGTGTTCTTGGATCCATAGGTGTTTGATTTTTCACACAAATCACAATAGAGATACCGAAATTACAAAGAAAATGGGTTCAATTTTCTGAAAATCTCGAAACAGAAATCGCGCTAGAGAGACAGACAGTTTTCGAAATGCTGGAAGAGAGAGAGAGGAGACTGCATGGAGAGGGAGTTTACCGAGGGAGAGTGAGTGTTTTTTTTAATTTGAAAAAGTTGGGTATTTTTTAATCGAAAAAGTAATGGTCTTTTTGGTCTTTCATTTAAAATTTAGGGTTATATGTGTCTTTACTCCATTTTAGATTTTATTTTTTTTAGATTTATTTTTAGAAGGGTATTCAATGAAGTAAGGATAGCATTTTAAATGCATTTTTGCTATATTCCCTTTTGAAAACGTTAAATGTGAGATTATATATCTCTCTCTCAGACAAATGATCAAACACCTAGCGTGCAGAACTGGAACCTCAGTCGAACTCGATTCGAACTAACCTAGAATTCTAGCAGCTAAGCCCACAATTCAAATCAGTAACTAAACAAGGAAGAAAGAATCAAACAGAAAGTAAGAGACACACCGTATACGTGTTCGGCACTTGCCAAGCCCTACTCACGGCGGGAATTTGATGTTCCGTTCACCATTAACAGACCTTGAAGGTTTCAGCGCCACACGAGAGAGAAAGAGAATACCGAAAAACGCAAATCCCCTCTCCCTTCCCCTTCACCCATGCTCTTACACCTGAGAAAGAACGAATTGCCCTTTAGCCGTTACGACGACTTGAAAGTCCAACCCTCTGCAGCGAGTAGAGACTTCGACCTTCAACAGTTCATCTTTAATGAAACCCGGACAGAAATTAACATTAGATGTATTTAAACATCTGGATTTGATCCTTCAAGTAACTTCTTTCCGACTTCAATCAAACCACGTCTCAATATGAATAAAGAACAACAAATGGATAAGGAACGCATCTATTTCAAGTTTTTAGTGTGTTTAATTATCCCAAACACATCGTTAGTCTGATTTAATTCTGAGCGCCATAATTGCAATATGCATATTTCCATGTTTAAACGAACTCAATGCATGGATTAAGACAATTAATTGTTTCTTATAAAATGTCTTAGGTACTGATATATTGAGACGTCATCTCATGCGAAGAATTGCATGTTTACGTGATTAAATATTAATTACGATTAAAGATTAAAACTTTAAGCATTCTCAAATAAAAAAGGAGTAATTGAAAAAGTCTTAAATAATGTATGGTGAGAACCAAAAGAGAAGCACTAGGCTCAACGCAATTCTCTTAACCCTATAATCATCTCCACTAATCTCTCTTAATCACTTCTAAATTTAAACACTTCGAAAACTATAAATATGATTAAGAAACCCAAAACCAAAACTCACTCATTCTCTCAATCATCCATCGTTTTCCCATACCCTTTTCCCCCAAAAAAAAAAATACAACAAAAAAAAAATAAGGCATCTCCAAGGATGAATATGGCGAGAATGAACATGTCCTTGTGCTTAGCCTTCATAGTGGCATCAGGAGCAATCTTCCAGGCATCGGGAACGTTGTTCTTACTGCCACATTACCTGAAGAAAATGCCGAGATTCTCCAAAGATGTCGAGCCTTTCGCCTACAAGGGGATAACGACGTATATGCACGGCCTCCAGAAGGGTTGTCCCGAGACATCGGAGTTCAAGACATTCTTCTCGAAGCTCCAAGACTACATGAACACTGTTAACTCAGTTTCCCAGATGTCTGGTTCCATGGATGCTACGGCTGTCCAGTCTCAGATGAAAGGGAAGGCCGAGGGGCTTTACACCGCCATATCTCACCTGTCTGGTGGCAGCTCTGGTTCGGTAAGAAAACTTTGTTGAATTCTGTTTCTTCCATTGCAAATGCAAGTTATTCACTGGTTTGGTTATGGTGGCATGGTAGGCGGAAGCGAAGAAGATGTTCGAAACGGTGCAGAGCTTGGGGAAGACATTGATGGAGCAGAGGAGGAGTTCTTCTTCGACTCTTTCGGCTGATCAACAGCGAGCGATCCAGGTTTCGATCTCGAAATGCGCACAAGGGATCGGTCAGTTCGTGAGCTCGGCTGCTCAGAAGAACGGCGGAAATTCCATTGACTTCTCAGCTGGTCTCAATGTCGGCTCAGACAGTGACAATGATGATGACATCACCACCAGTTCCTCTGCCATTGGAAGGAGAGGTTCTGCTGGAGGTGCTTCCGGTGGAAGTTCCTTCTCCATGGGAGGCGGAAGGTCCTCTTTTGGCGCAAGTTCTGGCTCTGCTTCGGGAGGAAGTTACCTTAGCGGTGGCTCATCGGGTGCAAAATCTTCCTATGGCTCTGGTTCAAGCTCTGCATCCGGCTCAAGCTCCATGAGCGGTGGAAGCTTCAGAAGTGGTTCCTATGGCTCATCCTATGATTCAAGCGAGGCTGCAGCCAGAGGTTCGGCCATGAGCGGAAGCTACGGGCAGCACCTCAGTGGGTGGAAACGGTAACATCAAAGGCACACTGGACTACCAGAGCTCTGCCAAAAGATCCCACGACAAATCTTCCTCGACCACTTCATCGGAGATGAAGAACTCAGGCAGGTTCCGATTCCATTCCAAGTAGATTTCAGACAGAAAAGTCTTCTGTAAATAAAGAAAAAAATGTCCATAAGGTAAGAAAATGGCGGAAAAGCCATCGTAAGTATAGCTATGAGTATGAATAATACGAGAGAATGAGGGCCATGCTTGATTACAAGCATTGAGCTGAAGTATTATGGTTATAAATATTTGAGTTTCCCATTCTTTCTCGTTCTGGTATGCACAAGAAACGTACCTTATCGAACGCAGTGGAAACTTTGCTGTAAATCCACCGAGGAACGCTGAGAACCCTGAAACAGTGAACACAAGAAAATGATAGGTACAAGAAATTTTGGATCTTTCAGAGAATGTGTAGCAGCAACTGTGTTTAGCTCTGAATGGATCATCTACATCATCATCTCCATAACCAAAGAATATGAGCATCGAAATCGAGAACTACCATTAAATCTGATCTCCAGAACAAAAGTTCACTCATCCTTCTACCCGATAAAGCAATTGCTTACTGCTGTGGACCAAAGACCTGTATCGCAAAACCACCGAGTGAAAGCTTGTTCAAGAATTGAGTCCGAGGGAATAGAGAACAATGGTGGTTTCCGTGATAAGGAGAGACATGAAGGGCAAGAACTCTACTTCCACTTCTGGAGATTGTCTTGACTCGACTTCCATGACCTGTGATAACATGTATTTTGGTGACATTTTGGTATAGGATGTCTAGTGCATTTTACTCGGTTTTGCATATTTATAGGCATTCTAGAGCACATTTGGTCTCGATATTGCTTGGTTGCTTTCTTTGGTGTCAAAACAGGTATTCATGCATAAAAGAGAGCAAAAAGAGTGGAAAACATGGACTACGGAACATCACAGACGAAACGGGAACATTTGGAGTTGTTCCGGGGAAAAACACGAAGCCTAAAAAGTCAAATCTTGCAAGTCCAATAACTTCCACTCTACAAGTCCAAATTGTGTGTTCTCTACCTCATTGGAAAGCTCTCTTCAATATCTACGCATAGACACTAAGTTCGCACAAATCCGACATTGGAGCAGAAAGTTATGAGCAAATCTGTCAAGCATGTTCGAGTTGAAGAATCGACACGGACCGTGTTGCATTCGACACGGCCGTGTTGTGTCCGTGCTGAAAAAAGTGAAGTTTTGCTCAGAGAATTGACACGGACCGTGTTGTCATTCGACACGGCCGTGTTGATTCAAACTCGCCCGTGTTCAGCCCATGTCTAAAGTGCAGATTTTTAACAGAGAATTGACACGGACCGTGTTGCATTCGACACAGCCGTGTTGCATTACGGGAAACCTTCCTATTTTGCATCCGGACTTCCGTTTTCAGCAAAGGAAGAAGCCCAGCTGCCAAGCAAATAAATAGGAGACGTCTTGAGCTTCAGAGATCATCGAGAGATCACAGCAGAAGCCAGAGAACTCGAGAGAGAATCAAGACGGAGTTTCCCGGGAGCAGAGATTGAAGAATCGTCGTCGAGAGATCGCTGCGAGTCTTCTTTATCTGTTTCTATGTTTCTTCTTATTGATTTGAACTCGTTCGTTGTTATGGGTAGTGAGTAGTCGTTTCACTGTAGCTAGGGATTTAACCTTGTAGGGATTTGTTTGGTTTTTATTTTCCGAGACTACGTTATCGATACTCGGCGGTTTAATTGAATTGAGTTTATTGCTTTTGATCTTCTTGGCCAGTTGATTGATTGATTTTAGATTCTGATTTGCAACGAGAGTTGAGATTAGATTCGGAACGAATTCATTGAATGAATTGATTAAGACTATTGAGAGATAGGTTAATCGGTTTAGGAACTGTGATAGTGATCGTTAATGCATTTGATATTTTAATCTATTAGGTTGAGAAATCGATAGGTTAGATTATTGGACAGTGGATTTAGGACTTGAGAGAGCCAAATCTGATATTAGAACTTGAGATCCCCGATTAGAGTTCGATATTCGTAGATTCTCCATCCTTAGAAACAATCCCTGCGCATTAAGGTTATCCCGAAGCTACGGTGGTTTAGTTATCTGAATTTACTTAGTTGGTTTATAGATTTATTTTTGCTATTCACATATTTCATCTGTTATTTCCTGATCTAATTCTTGGTCGAGTCTTGTTCCTAGAGTTAACTATTCCCTGTGTTCGACC